GGCTCCATGATACTATTAAATCCTACAAGATAAGTATTCTATGTAAATAGTTAAATCATATAATTTTGTGAAAGAAATATTAATTGTTTTTATCTCAAATTCATATAAGTCATCTTCCGAAAATTCTTCCATATGACTCATCATATACATACGTATGAAAGAAAGGAACACTAAAATTATTCAAGTCGATGATATATATGGATGATTGTTATTATAGCTTCACTCTTTAATAAGTGGATCTTTGTCATCAAATAAACCATTGAGTATCGAAATTATTACTTTCATTACATTTTGATGCTCATCGGCTATTTGTATGACATTAATACCATTATTGAATATTTTTAATCCAGGGAATTTTAGAATTATTGCTAATCTGTTATTAAACTCTTCAATTGCACAGTTTCCACATTGTTCGTTCAGGAGTTCTAGTGCATATATCTGAAAAGTCCTAGATTTAAGTGATGCATTCGATCAGATAAGATTGCTTCATATATATTTAAATTTCTTTTAATTTGTTAAACAGAATTATTGATTAAATTTATAATTAATATTATAATAAAGAAATATAATTAGCTAAATGAATGAATTTATACTACTTACAGAAAATCTCAAAAAATATTTTTTTGACCATGAATTGAATATTCATGAGCATCTCCTTCTTGAATTGCAAAAGTCATCGATTCAGTATTCGCATGATTATGTCTTCCTCTAAAAGATTTATATTATTTAAGTTTTGAATAAGCACTGTACAATTTGGGCATTGCATATTACATTTGGCCGATTATAGGTATTTGTAATTGCGTGGGCTTCTAACATATTTCCAGTTTTAATATAAGATGAAGAATAATACTTCAATATCATTTTGTAATGCTACGTGAAAGCCTTTGAAAATATTCTGAATTTCTGATTATTTGGTATTTGCTTCGAAGGATGGCAAATATCCTAATAATACTTTGGCATTCTTTTTGTTTCTTTGCTAGAAAGAAATATTACCTAAAGTGAGAAATATTGGGTGCTGTTGAGTTTTACCTAAATTGGCATACAATGTTACATCAGAATATATTATCAATGATAAAATTCAGTTTTCAAGTTTTAAATCAGATTCTGTTTGTCTCCACCAATCATAATAATACTGTTCAGTGAAAATGCGAGAAGAACTACCATCCTATAAATATGCTAAGGTTAAGTAATTATAACTTGAGTATCGCTAATTAATTAAATTTACTTACTTTATTTATTTTTATCATTTTCTTGAAATGAACGTAAAATTTTGAGTCATCTTCAGTTTCTGGTGAAGTTTTTTAATTGTCTTTATTATTAAACGATAATAAAGATCATATGAAATATTCTCAAATTCTATTATATGCTTCTTTTATAATCGAGATTCAATGCTACTATAGAGTTCATAAATTTGTACATATCTTTAGCATTTTTTGGTAAAGGTGACTCATCTAAATTCGCATTTTTGTTAAAGAAGCGAATAAGTGAATCGGTTACTTGGTTTGATAGTTTGTATTTGACACATAATTCTGTAAATTCTTGATAAGTATCATTAGGCCATTGTGAAATATATTTCTCAATTATATCATTTACTGCATCTTCAAAGCTAGCTCCACAAAATCTTCAGAGTTCACTAAATCAATTTCTGTATCTGAATCATCCACAAAGTCTTCATTATCATCCATATTATCCGTAATTTCATCATTATCAAGTTTTTGCAAGAAAGGAGAATCAGGACAGTTTTGTATTTCTAATAATATTTTATCTATTGAAAGGTTCTCTGAATTCTTTTAATATACATTTATATATTAGGTTAATAATAGACACGATTGATAATTTTATTAAATGTTGTTTGATTTAAAAATATATCTTAATGTTAACAAAATTAGTCGATTTAACTCAAGGTGAATCTTTTTTAAATAAATTCAATTCTTTGAATAAACTGTTGTTTCAAAAAAGTTCTGTATTATCATTACTAATATTATCTTATATTTCTTCTTGTTCATTTTTTACAAAAGGATGGCGATATAAGATATGTTGAGTTAATCCTTGTTGTTTCGTAAAGGTTCGATTACATTCTTCATAAAAACATCGAAAACTCATTTTGTGATTTTTTTTATTTAAAAAAATAATGAATAATGTGAATTTTATTTAAAAATAATTTTTTATTTCATTGAATATTAACTTCAATAAATATTTATAAACCATTTCATTATTTGTATTATATCAATTTATTAACTGATTTTTATCACTTTATGATTTGTTAAAATATTAATTTATTATGAATCGTTAAAAATATCAATGTCTTAATATATTATTACGTAATATTTAAAACATTTTTAAGTCTTATGTTAAATAAATAGTCTCTTATTTTTCCTACGAACAAATATCTTTTTTTTTTCTTATGAACGAATCATTTCTTAAATGCAAATTTCAAGTTTCGTAAAATTCTTCAGCTTTATTAAAATTCTTGTAATATTAAGTATAAAAAATAATATAGTTAATGAAATGATATTGCTAACAAAATCTAGAGGAAAAAGTTGTAAATTTATATTGTTTTGATGCTTTAATCAACCAAGTCATATATTAAATAATTTTCAAAATAACTAAAGCTTCGAATATTGGAAGAATACGTGCTTCTTCTAGAATTTTAGCAACAAAAAAACCACTTGTTTCTCGTAAAAATTTTTCAAATTCATTATCGTAGCCATCTGTTTCTCGTAAAAATTTTTCAACAAATCAGTCACTGCAGCCAAAGCTCTGTTAAGGAGTCCAATAAAGGTATCATTAACTATATTACTTTTATTGATACTTATGAAATCAATTTAATATTATTTTATCATTTCATAGGTCTTTCTAAAAATTTGTTGACAGCAGATTCTCTTTGAAATCATAAAAAGAGAATCTTATTCTAATTTGGATGTATATCAAAATGAACAGGATTGTGATTGTGATATTAATATAGAGGATGATAATGATAATTATTCTTTGGAATTGTATGATCAACTTCAATCTAGAAATGAAAACGATGATTTCGACAGTTCCAAAAATATTGAAATTGAATATGATGAACAACAATACACCTTACAGGACTATTTAGTTTCTAATCTAGAGACTTCGAGAAAACACAATTGAAGTGCTAATGATATTGTACCAATGCAAATGGATAAAAACTCATAACTGGTATATCATATAAGTTCAAAATATAAATTGTATATTCTTTAATAATATAATTATTTTTTATTATTAATATAGGAGATCGTAATAAATATTGTTCAGTTTTTGTGGATTTTTTAGAGAAATTAAACAGACAGAACAGAGTTATCTGGAAAAATCAACTAAAGCATGATAAAAAAATTGATGAAATTATGAAGGTTCTCTCAAAGTTACAGCGTGAAGATAGTTTATCATCCACCTTTTTTAATGTAAGTAATATATTTTGAAAATGATTTTATGTTGTTTAATATACTAACATACTATATGATTGTTTAAATAATAGAAAGGTATCATCGCTATTACTAAAGAGATTCAAAAGTTAACTTTACATTCTACTGTGAAATTATTTAAAGAACATCTTGAAAGTTATATTGAAAAGCATTCCAAAGGATATATTAAAGATATTGGAAAACACTGTTGGAATTCTCATTTTTATTCAGAATTTATGGCTATTATAAGCAATCTAACTATTATGTCATTTCTTTACTAATATTCATTATCTATCGATATTTTCATATTGGCTTTGTATTAGTATCTCGAAAAAATACATCACCATTGAAGTGCTATGGTCAAAGATATTCGTTTAGCGCTTTTTAAAGTATTTTCAGAAATTCCTAAAATAAAGGCAATCACAGGTATAAAAATTGCTGAATGGAAAAGAAACCTGAGAGTTGCCGAAGCGTATACCAAATTGTGGAAGTCTGATGATACTGGCCTTTTAATAATCAATACAATTATCATGAAGGCTATGCCTAAAGAAGACAAAGAAGTCTGTTTTAAACCTTCAATAATAGCATTTGCCCTTGCAGTTTGTAGTATTATCTTAAATCTATGAAGCGAGAATATCTGATGTACCGAGAAAGCTATCAAGAAATTTTCTTAGTATGTATTAAATTTATTATTTGTGTCAATTATTTCTCTAATCGAGTTTTATTAATAGAAATGTTTAAACATGCAACTAATTCCAATAGACGATGATATTACAGATATCAATGATGACTTGAAAGACAATATAATATTAAAGAATTATAATAATACTGTTGAAGAGATTTTAGATGAACCTGACTCTGAATCTGAAGATACTAGATTATTTGAATAATTATAATACTAAAAGGTAATTATATATAATTTTGGAATGATTCTTTTATTTTTATTTTTCTTTTACAATAATGTTTATATACTAATATTATCAATATTATTGAAAAAATACATCTGAAACCAGAAAATAACAATCATACAAAATACAAATAACCGTAGCAATAACAATGCAGTAGAAATGATCATATAACTTACGCAAATATGTAAATATATTTATATGATCATTAAAATTTAATACATATACCTGATCTTACTTATATCATATAATTATTTGAAAATGGAAATTTTAGGTTGTGAAGAGTATTACGGTTATTAGTAATAAAAAATCCTATATATATTTACTTGTTCAAATTTTCGTAAATAAATAAAATTCGAAACTTATCAAAAAGTTTAAATTCTTATTTTTTTTGTGCTCACAGATCTTCGGATAAGGTGGGGATTAACAAAATCATTTATAACTAATTATTTTTTACATATATTTATCTTATTTGATCTACTGATGTGATGATCTTGTGATCAGCTTAGATGAGAGAGTATTTCAATCGATACATATTTAGTTCATGGTATTTATTCTATTCCAATCATTTCAAAAAAATAATATACTCATAATATTACTTTTTGGTAATAAGCAGTAAGAAGACTTATACATTGATTTCTTTCCATTGGAATTGTTATTTTAGTTTTAATTATTTCTACTAAGAACCAGAGAATTATTAAGATTTCTATTCAATTTCTTAAACTCCTAGCTCTTCTAAGTTATTATATTAAAGAACTTATTTGTTGAGACGTTATATCACTTTATTGATGGAAATATAACATTATCGTTGGGTTTAAAGGTTTTTTTTAATGAAGATCTTTCAAAATTTATGTATATAGACTTATGATATTTTTTTAGGCAAAAGTTTTATTGTCTCTACTTATATACTTTTTCAAAAGACTTTTATTTACAGGTGCTTTTAATAATCTTCCATCTAATTGCCTTATTTTGTAGGCGCTGTTTCCAATTACATCATGTATATAGTAAGGTCCTTTCCATTTTGAGTCTAATTTTCCAGTATCTGTTTTATCTTTGCTGCTTCAAAGTATAAAACCTTATCTCTAATATGATACGAAATTAGCCTTTTCAATTTCTTATCATGACAATCTTTTTATTATTGCTCTCAATTTATAATTGTTTTTGAATAGTATTATGGATGATCAGCAGATGATCTAATTGTTTTTTCATATAGTTAAGCAAAATGGGTTCCTCCTTCATTTTCATACTATCTATTGGTAATTTGGTATCCCTTTCATATATAAGGAAAAAGGGTAATATTTTTGTAACAGAATTTTCATTCGTATGATAAGTGAAAAGTATTTGTACAATATATTGATTTCAGTTTCTTAAATGATCAATGGATATTTTTACGAAGGCTTCTATTAATATTTTATTAAACCTTTCAACTAATCCATTTGTTTGGGAATGATATAGAATCGACATCTTATGTGGTATTTCAAAGTTTTGTAAAAGTTTGTTAAGTAGTTGATTGTTGAAATGTGTTTCTTGATCTGTAAGAATTTCTCCAGAACATCTATGTTTGCAAGTAATGTCTTCATAGACAAACTTAACAGTTGATTTTGCATTAGCATTTCTCATAGGTTTTGCTTCTGACCATTTGGTCAAGTAATCTATTATGATTATTATATTTACTTGATAGTAATAAAGAACCTACATAATCTATTTCTATACGATAGAATGGTTTTCTTGGTTTTCTTATTAGAATTGGATGTAAAAGTTCAATTTTGAAGGCTCTTCCTTTCTTTTAGCAAATGTCACAAAATTATGTATATTTTCTAATATTTTTGAACATTTGGTACCAATAAAAATGTTTTTTAAGTTTTTCTATCATTTTTTCTTTCGAAGTATATGCTACAGTAGGATCATTATAAAACATATAAATAGAAGATTTTACTTCAAATTTTCTAAGTACTCTTATAAGATCATTTGTGTTATTGCAATTCTTTTTGTTTAAAAGTTCATGTTGAACATGATAATGATTTAATTGTGTTATTAATTTGTTTTGTTGAATTTGATCAAAGTTGTTAAGGCATTCTCCTTTAGTAAAATATATTAATAAATTGTTATATAATAGTTCATCTATCTTGGCTGTTTATTTGCAAGCACTTTTGTTTTACCAAAGTGAATAAATAATAGAAAGAATAAAAAAAAAAAATAATAAGTTAAAAATGATATTTTTGTGAGGGTTTGAAATTTAATTTTTAATCAAGTTAATGATTAACTTTTCATTAAGTGAGTTATTAACTAGGTTTTATATAAATTGTAAATATACGAAATTATTATTAATCATAACTATAAGGGTTTTTCTCATTAAGGGTTATTAATAAAAAAACTTGAATCCATATTCGGTTGAATTTTTCCTATTTCATAACTAATAGTACAGTTATAAATAACAGTTATCACTCAATCATACTAAGTTCTGGTATACCTTTTTTATAGGATTGGGTTACTGAGATTAGACCTACTTCCTATTTTTGACTAAAAGTCTCAGAAGTTGAGGTTTCTACAAGGTTGAGTACTAGAGTTAGATTATCACTTATAGTTTTTCACTTATTTATCCATTTTTCAGATGTGATGTTATGTTCGATTTGTAACTCAAATAAAATTCACAAAAGTTAATAATGCTAAGACTAAACTCAGGGAATCACAATAAAGATTTATAGTAAACGTCAAAGATTATTCTCAATTACACACAAGTAACTTCTGGATATTTCAGAGATTACATTACAGTGACTACACTTTAAGTCAATACAATGAATCAATATAATATTATGCAAAGTCAATAAACAATAATAATAAATACACAGGTAAAAGGGTTGCGAAGGATAAGTTTTAACTTATTTAATTATACTTTTTATTAATAATATAATAAATTGTAAGTTCTCTACCTCGTAAGATATCAAGACTTAATAAAAATACAGTGATATTTATACATGTTTGATAATTATAAAATGAACTAAACTAAATAAATCTATGAAAAATACCTTCAAAGTTGCTGCCTCCAAAGTTGTCCCTACTTCCAAAGTTGCTGCTACTGCTGCTGCCTCCAAAGTTGTCATCTCCAAAGTTCCCACTAATGACACCATCAAGAAAATAAAGTTGACAAAATTGATCAGCAAAGATGATCATGTTAATAAAGTTGCCATTATACTAAAAATAAAATTGACATCTAAATCTATAATGTTTCACATTGATTATATCAGAACATAAAGTTGACATCAGGATTGACGAGATGATAAGCAAAAACATTTAATTGACATTGGATTTGTAATCAGATTTTAGCCAAAATTTTACACTGTTACATTTCCCTCTTCTTTGATTTGAGCTCTGTCGAAGAATCTTTTTTCTTCTTTTAGTATGTTTGGATAAAGCCGATGGAGTAATTCCAAGTTCTTGAGCGTACTCCTTTTGTGTTTTTCTTTTCCTAATAAGTTCTTTAGGAATTTCACTTTTAACAAGTTCCATTTCAGTGTTTTCTTGATAAATTCATCTATTATGGAGATTAATTCTTCAGAATTAGTCCTTTCTCAAAGATCGAGTATGATTGAAAGAAGTTTGGCTTCATTTTCTTTGATTATATGTCTTACATTTTCAACTTTTACAACATCAGATTTGTATTTGTTAATGAATTGATTCATTTGTTAGAAATTTTTAAAACTCATTTTAAGGTTTTGACAAAAGGAATTTCAGGTCCTTTTATACTTTTGACAATATTTATTCCAAATGAATCACAGGGTTCCAATTTTGTCAATCGTTATAAATCTTCAATAAACTTGTGTTGATTGGTGTTTTAAGAATTCATCCATCTGTAGATCTTAACTTATAAGCTCTATTTAACAATTTGTCATGAATATAAAATGGTTCTTTTCATTTATCTTCTAATTTTCCAGTCTAAGTCTTTTTTTTTGCAGCTGCGTATAATAGGACTTTGTCTCCTATTTGATATTCTATAGGTTTCTTTATTTTTGAATCATATTGTCTCTTTTGATTTTTCTGTGCTTTTGTAACATTTTCTTTTGCTTTCTATCGATTTATTTCTAAATCTTCTAAATTTGATTCCAAAGTTTCATTTTTAAAAATGGTGATTGGAAGTCTCATTTCTCTTTCATAAGTCAAATAAAATGGTATGTACTTAGTAGTAGAATTTTTTGCAGTTCGATAAGCAAATAATACTGAATTTATAACAGTATCCTATTCTTGCAAATCTCTTATTATCTTTACTATAGATTCACACAAAGTTTTATTAAATCTCTCAACTAATCTATTGGTTTGAGGATGATAGGATATAGATAATAAGTGCTTAATTTCAAACTTATTCATTAATCCGTCTACTACTTTGTTTCAAAAATGTGATCCTTGATCAAAAAGTATATATTTTGGACATTTATGTTGACATATTATATTTTCATAAATAAATTCTACAACTGTGTTTGTATCAGCTGCAGGTTTTGCATTCACTTTAGGCCATTTGGTTAAATAATCAGTTGCTACAATTATGTATTTTTTCTATTATTCGTAAGTGGTAAAGGTCTTACGAAATCTATTCTGATTTTCTCAAAAGGTTTTCCAACTGGTATAGGATGTAATAACGTTTTCTTTAAGGGCTTCTCTTTTCTTTGACAGGAGTCACATTCTTTAATATAGTTCCTAATATCTTCGAACATTTGCAGCCAATAATAGTTTTCTCTAATTTTTTTAAAGACTTTTTCAATTCCTAAGTATCCTCCAGTTGGATGATTATATATCGTATAAAGAACTGTTTCTATTTCATGAATTTTTAGAACTTTAAGAAAGTTTCCTTTGTTTTTCTTGTCTTTCTTAAACAAATGGGTTTTCTAAAATCACAAAATGTTTTGATTGTTGTTGAATCTAATTTGCTAATTTTTTATCATTTGGTAATATTGATATAGTTAAATATTCTTTTAACTAGTTATATTGATTTTCTTTAATTTAGTTTAACTTAAGCTATCAATCACGTTGTTAACATTTTCGCTTTCACTTAATTAAAAATTTTCAATCGTTGAGATTTTCACTCACTAATTATTATTCAAATAGGTGTTAACTATTTAAAATAAAAATAAAAATATATAAATAATATTGAAATTGACTATTTTAAAACTAAATAAAT